GCATGGTTGATAAATAAACCACAATGTTGTTGACGAGGGTATTAGAACAGGCCATCTTGAGGATCTGAGTCAGATCACAGAAGAAGTGGGGGATCTGCAGATGTTTGCAGAAAGACAGACGCAGCAACATCAGAGTGTGCACCAGGGCATCCACAGTGCTGATGAGCAGACAGATCAGGACCAACAGGACACAGAGGTGGGGGTTCATGATGACCATGTAATGCAAGGGGTGGCAGATGGCCACGTATCGATCATAGGCCATCACGGTCAGCAGTAAATTGTCCATGCATACAAAAACCACAAAAAAGCATAGCTGARTGAGGCAGCCTGCATAGGAGATGGCTTTGCTTTCTGTCTGGATGTTCAGCAGCATCTTAGGGACCAAGGTGGAGGTGCTACMGATGTCAGCCAAGGACAGGTTGGAGAGGAAGAAGTACATGGGGGTGTGGAGGTGGGAGTCAGAGCTGATGGCCAGAATGATGAGCAGGTTCCCAACAACGGTGACCAGGTACATCGTCAGGAACAGTGCAAAGAGGATGGGCTGCAGGTCTGGGTCCTCTGAGAGTCCCAGGAGGAGGAATTCTGCTGCAAGTGTTTGGTTTTCTGACTCCATGTGCTTGAGAGATCTGCTGAGGGTAGAGACGTGGATACCAATGGAGCACACCAGTTACTACTTGGTGGGAAGAAGTCTTTGGTAATCACTTAAAGTTATGGGTAGYATGTAAACCATGATTCTGTTCAGGTTCTCTTACTCATTTTTTCCTTCACCTATTAATTCAAGAGTAAGTTTATATATTGCAATTAATAAGATTAAATGACTGCTTTTTTATAATTGTGAAAACAGCCCTAAAATGAAAATGTGCTATTTTATTTATTGGAAATTTCAGGCCTAAATGCTCTCACGAAATCTAGTATTAAATTGTCATCAATTATTAAGACAGTTTCAAAGCTGGTTTGGTGACATCTTTTCCTAAATCATCTTAAACCTGTTGTGAATGTCGTACTCTGTCTCTGCTCATCAATGCTAGTCTTGGGTGTTGCTGAAAATCACCATCTCAGGTCTTTTCCTGCCTCCTTATGAGAAATGACATTATCTACCCATTCCTTGAAAGATACTAGAGTGTTCATTCATCTCAAGCCATTCCATTGGGATCTATTTAATTTGAAGGGATTTCTTTAGCCATTAAAATCCTTGAACTGATTTTGGTTTGTTTTTCGTGTGTGATGATTTGTTATTTGATCCTCGAATGAGGGATATTTCTAAAAGCACTGAATGAGTCCCCACATTATATCATTTTTACAAATATCACAGCTCTAGTGAAAATGACTATCTGGTCTTTAAAAGAAAAGTAGGTTGCTGTTTTTTGAAAAGCTGGTTCATTTATTCATTTCTTCAGTTCAAATCTCAGTGTGATTTTGGTGTGCATTTTCTGGTGGCTAAATACGGTGAACATTTTTTCTTGTAYAGTTGGCCATTTGCATTTCCCATTTTGAGAAGTGGGTGTTCAATTCGTTTGACCACTTACCGATTGGGTTATTATTATTTTTTTAAAATTTGAATTGTTTTTGTTTTGAATTCTAGTACATCTGGGATCACAGCCCTCTTTCAGAGTACAAGCTGGGCACAACTTTCTCCCAGTCTGACAGTTGCCTCTTCACTGTGTTTTATCCCTTGCTGTACAGGACCTTTTTGATTTAATGTCATCCTGTTTATTGATTCCTTCTTTATATCCTGAGCGATGGGGTTATTCAGGAAGTCTTTTCAAACACCTAAAAGTGGAAGTATTTGCCCTATTTTTTTTCTCCTCATATTTGTGATGTTCTGGTTTTATAGCAAAAAAAGGCAGGCATAAAGAATAAAAAGAGCAATAAGTGCTGKTTAGGATGTGGGAAATAAAAGAAACTTTTATACACTGCCGATGGGAATGTAAATTAGTCCAGCCACTATGGCAATCAGGAAGGAGGTTTTCCTAAAAATGGTAAAAATGCATCCACCATATGATCCAGGTATAAATAGCCTACCTTGGTATTGGTCAAAAAGGACGAAAGTCATTAGAGTTTTGAGATACACAAGTGCCCGTATTTATTGCTGCACAATTCACAATAGCCAATTTGGAAATCAGCCTAGGTGACCATTCTGAGATAAAGAAAAGGTGGTGTATAATTGATATAATTGGAGAGCATGATATTGAGCAAATTACTTGAGACTCAAATTACGTGAGAACAAAGTATTTTATATATATATATATATATATATATATATATATATATATATATACTCACTGATGTGGAAACTAGAAGGGAAAAAAGGGGACTCCTGAAATTGGAAGGGAAACAAGAAGAACAGAGGAAGTGGATTTTTTTTTTTTGGGGGGGGGATAGCATTTGGGAATGAAGTTAATCAAATAGTGTCTTTATGCAAGCATGACCACCATCGGTCTACCATTCCGTGTAATCAATAGGCACCAATTGTGTAGATTTTCAGACTCATTTTAAAATTTAAGTATTTATCTGAGAAGGTGCATGTGGAGGGATGCACAGTCACAAGGGAAATGGTGGAGGGGCCTGCAGGAGTCCTGAGAGAACAAGGGAGACTGTCAAGCATGTTCTTCTCTCTGCCTGTAACCTGGTCAGGGTGGGGAAGAGGACAGCTGGAGTAGGCATTGCTGATGCTCGGGGCCACTTTAAAGGGTCAGGGACCATAGGATGTGTTACAAAGTGAGAGAAGAAGAACATTCCTCTAAACAGGACAGGGACATGAAATGGAGCCAAGTTCAGCTGTGTCATCTGAGGGACTAAGCATTGCAGATGTAGAGTCTGGAAATCTTAGCTCTAATTATTGCTGCTGTTACTTTATTAACAATGGTATAATTGTTGTAAGAAGAGGAAGTTGTCTTGCTGTAACACAGTAGAGAAAAGTTTCAGCTCTGTTTAAAACCTTCCCTTTCCCCTGAATATACTGACACCCAGCTTCATTGACACTCACTAAGGGCTCTTTAAACATAATGATGCTTATATATTTCCAGAAATAAAAAAATGCAATGAGTAAGTCTTCATACATTTTCCGTTAAAATGTTAAAGATTTTCTCAGAAAAAAAAATTAATAAATGTGGTCTCAGTGGCATGTATGCCAGCTACTCATGAAGCCAAGGCAGAAATATTTCTAGAGCCCAGGAGCTCAGGGTCAATGGGGTACCATAGGAAGACCCCATTGAAAACTAAATCATGATTAAAAGAGTGTTAATTGTCATCCTGTAATTACAGTTCTGGGTTTGCCTATCCACAAACAATTGGAAGCAGAGTATTAGATGTGTACCTCACATTTACTGTAGTGGACTTCCTTCACCACTAGGGGGAGAACTAGAGCTGTGGAGCGAGGCACAGGAAGGAAAATGGGTTTTATTTACCGGGAGCTTTGAGGAAGACAGAGAAGAGCTATTTTCTGTCTCAAATCTCCACCTTCCAGGAATCAGGGGCACACAAAGCTTTTATAAGACAGATAAAAGGGGGATAAAAGGCAACTGACACGCATATGTAGAAGGTGGAAGGCTGCATTCATCAGAAAGGAGCATAGACTGGATTGGGCCAGCCCTGGTCAGGTCCAGCTAATCTCTGCCCAGCATCCAATCTCAGTGTGAAGACGTTGAGGAGCGAATTTATCAGCAGCACTATTCACAGGACCAGCAGGTGGGAGAAACCCAAGCGTCCAGGTACAGAGGAGTGAAGGCAACCAACATGGCATGTGGGTAGAGCAGAGTAGCCACTGCCCTCACCACAAGGACATTTCCCACAACAGGCTGAACCTGGAGGACCCAGTGCTTGGTGACATAAGCAGCCACAGAAAGGCAGAGGCTGGCCTGCAGTTCCATGGGGCACCATGCACTGACATTCACAGCGAGGGGGACAGGAGCGGGGCTGTGAGGGCTGGGGGCAGAGAGTGAGGAGTTAGTGTGGATGCTCCAGAGAATGAGGTTTGTAGGACAAAACGTGTCTTGAGTATGGACATTAGTAATGTTTGCAAAACATCAAGAGCATGATTCAGGCCATAATAGTGGCAACTTAAAGTGGTTGTAACCATAGAACTTTTATGTGTATTTTACCACAATTTAAAAATTAATTCGTAAAAAGCATTGAAGGAACACTTTCTGAGTAGCCTCATTGATGCTCCTCTCCTAGATGGAGCTTTGTGAAACCACCCACCCCTCATGTCTCCCTCTTCATTCACGGAAAAGCCCTTCTCAGGTACAGTCCCCCACTCACCCTGGCCCCTGTCTCTCCCTCAGCCAGGAAACTGCAGAGAGGACAACAGTCAGCACCATCGAGGGAGATGCTGGTCTTTCCTCTGCCTGTTGTTGGTTAGAATCACATCAGGGTCCAGCTGAGAATGAGGGGGCCAATGGGTCTCCAGGAGGAGTGCACGCAAGGACAGGGCTTTCTCACTCACCACCTTGGTCCCCTCCTCACTCCAGCRCCTGGAAGAAGGATCTTTGATGGTACAGAGATTCGTGTAGGAACTGGATGCTCCTTTTAAGGTCTCCAAATGTTTTTAGAAATAAAGAACAGGAACGATGTGTAATGAGCCCCTAAGGGTTAGAGATTATAAAAAGAAAAACAACAACAAAACTTATGGATTATCACAAAGTCCTCAGCACCCAGCCTCCCAGAGCCACACACAGGGGACACAAAAAAGGCAAAGAATGATGAGTGGGTATTCTCCAGAAAGAAGAAGGTTGTTACACCACTGTGGCCCACAACTGGCGTGCATCTTAATTCCCAAAGGGCTTGTTAAACACACATATTTGAGGTGTATTGGAGAATCTGGCAATGACTAGATCTTCAGAGAGATTCTAGAATTTTCCTTCTGTCRCGATTCCAGGTGATGCTGATTCTATTGGTCCAGAAACTCCACCTTGAGAGCCAGGAGTGGAGAACATGGACATTTGCAAGTCTTTCCCAAGTGGCAATGAACGTAAAATTGCTGCTAAGTAGTTCCTGGTGTCAGGAAACCTACAAACAATTTCATAATCAGCTTCAGATAAAAGGAATTCATTCTATTTCTTTTAAGGAATTGCAATAGCTGGAGACCCAGCGTCCGTCACTGGAAGAGGACTGAGCATGCCGTTCCTGGAGAGGAGGCCTGGACTCAGGATGAGTGGGGTCCTTGACACACACGATGGAAAAGAATTTCAGCTCATGTCAGTCAGAGACACGGAGATWCATTTAGGAAAGCAGATGCACACACCATGTATCAGGGAAAGCTCGGTCCTATTAGGTAGGACCTAATAGGAAACAGAGTATTAACCTGTCTAATACCTGGAGACAGGGTATTAACAAGAAACGGATGGAGGACAAGACAGAGACCAGTCTTGTCCTTGTTTACAATAAATCCCATTTCCATGAGAACCTCAGGCACTGGGGACATGACAACTCCTGTCACTGAGGACTTATCACCATGACAACTCCTGTCACTGAGGACTTATCACCATGACAACTCTTGCCATAGGTTCAAATTTTAACATGATTAATGGAAATAAAATGGATAGTATTCTAATTATGTTTTCTAAAGTAACCGATGGTGGAGGGGGGATTGGAAAATGTTTAAATCAGGTATCTTAAGACAACCAATTGGAGAAAATGGAGTGAGGTCTTCAATCAGGTCTGTGTAGGCAAGAGAACACCCCACAGTTCAGGATGTGATCCTCATATCCAGACATTGGGGTCTTGAGCCTCCCTCTGGGCCCACTGTGTTCCACCTAATGGAGTGCCATCTTTACCTTCAATTAACTTGTACTCTGTTACTTCTTGGTGTCTTGCTCAGTTCTTTGTTCCTGACCCCAAGGTCCTGGACTTCAACTGGAAATCCCAATGGCAACAGTTCCTGTCCCTGATGCTGATTCAATAACCAGGACAAGGTTTTTAGAAAAAAAAAAAAAGGAAGAAAAAGGAAGAAAGAAATTTGACTGCTTTGCTAGCAAAGGAGATCTTCAAGAGCCTCCTCCCATCACAGAGGCTGCCATTGCACCTGCTGGGGACAGAGGGCTTTAGAGGGGATGCAGGGCTCCTCTCCAGATATTATTCTGTAGAGTGCATAAGGCGATGAACAATGCACAGATTAACCCTGGGTGAATACAGGGTACCTTTCAGGATTACAGAATTCCCTAAAATTTGAGAAAGAATGGTCTGAGAAAGAGACTTACTTGGGTGTGACTAGTCTAGAGAGACCTGTGGATCTTCACAATGACAGTTCTGTCCTTCCTTTGATCTGCTTTCTACCTGATGTTCTTTTTTAATGTTTTATATACCACTAAAAGTCTAGGAGTAAGTGGTATGTGTTCTGAGGAAAAGGGACAGGAAAAGACAAAAATCCCACCTGGACAAGTTGTTGGGAACACACTATGACAGGTGGAGGCCAGTGGCAGTTTGTGGAGCCCAAGGTCTGATGCATTCTGCTGTTCATCAGCTGTATAGGAAGGGGAAGCAATGGCCCAGGACACACCGGTTCCACAGCACTGTGCCTGGCACAGTGACACCTGCTGTCATCCCAGGGACTCTGGAGTGGGAAGTGATTTAGTGAGGATTAAGTGGTTCAGTGGAAAGAGGGCGTGTCTCACATGTGCAGGGCCTGTGTTCAATCCCCAGAACCACACTTCCTGATAAAATCTTATTAATATTTGATGTAGAAGAAAGAAAACATCTTCTTCAATTTTACTAATACAGGATGTACACCAATAACTAYTGCTTTGATTCTACTTGCTTAATGCAATCAATTTTAGTGTAGATACCAGACACTAAAATATCTCACACACACATATTAGACAGATATAGTCCCTAAATAACTACCAACGTGTGACACTTGTCTGACCCTTTCACAGGTGTGGAAACTGAACTCAGAGAGTCAAGGTAATGGGTCTGTGATATGGAGTAAAACATAGGAAAACAGGATTTCTTATAAAGCTATTTTCTTAAAGCCCATAGTTGACCACTGGCTAGGAAAATAGGATTAAGTCAGACTCAGGGATTCTGGCATCCTGCTTTTTTGTTTTGTTTTGCTTTTTAGTTATAGATAGACACAATATTTATTTATTTGTTTTTATTTTTATGTGATGCTGGGGATCGAACCCTCACGCATGCTAGACAAGTGCTCTACCCCTGAGCCACAATCCCGGGCCATGGCTTCTGTTTTAATCAGCTCTTCATTGCAGTGACTGAAATGACCGAAAAGAACAACACAGAGGAGAAAAAGGAGAAAAGGTTTATTTGGGGCTCATGTTTTTCGAGGTGCAGTCCATAGTTGTCCACGTTCGTATCTGTGGACTAGAGGTGAGTCAGAGCAGCATGGCAGAGAAAGCTTCTCGGCTGATGATTGACTGATGGCAGCCAGAATGGAGATGGAGAGAGAGACCCGAGACGAAATTTGTCATTCAAGGACATGCCCCCAGTGATATACTTAACCTAGCCATATCCCACCTGTCTACAATTACCTCCCAGTAATAGATTAAATTATAATATGGTTACCATCTCATAGTGTATTCATCTCACCTCTGACACTCCTGCATTGCCACATGAGCTTTTACAGGGACATCTCATATCCAAACCATAATATATGCCCAATGTTTCACTCTCTATGACTCACTCTAGAAGGCCACACCAGGACATTTGACAGATCACAAGAAAGAAAATACTCCTAAGATGAGTTTTCTCAAGGCGCCCTTCATGTCCYKGTTCCTCAGGCTGTAGATGAAGGGGTTCAGCATGGGGGTGACCAYRGTGTAYATCACCGAGGCCATGGCACTCATTCTGGGAGAATCAGTCACAGCAGAACTCAGGTAAACCCAAATAGAAGCCCCATAGAACAGGGAAACCACAGACAGGTGAGTCCCACAGGTAGAAAAAGCTTTATACTTTCCACCAGTGGATGGGATTCTCAGGATGGAGGAGACAACTCTAGCATAAGAGAAAATTATCCCAGAGACAGGACCAAAACCCAAGAGGATGGTTGCTAACAATAAAATAGTGTTGTTGACGAGGGTATTAGAACAGGCTACCTTGAGGATCTGAGTCAGATCACAGAAGAAGTGGGGGATCTCCAGGTGTTTGCAGAAAGACAGACGCAGCAACAGCAGTGCATGCACCAGGGCATCCACAGTGCTAATGAGCAGACAGATTAGAACCAGCAGGACACAGAGGCAGGGGTTCATGATGACCATGTAATGCAAGGGGTGGCAGATGGCCACATAGTGATCATAGGCCATCACGGTCAGCAGTAAGTTGTCCATACATAGAAAAACCATGAAAAAATATGCCTGAGTGAGGCAGCCTGCATAGGAGATGGCTTTGCTTTCTGTCTGGATGTTCAGCAGCATCTTAGGGACTAAGGTGGAGGTGCTACAGATGTCAGTGAGGGCCAGGTTGGAGAGGAAGAAGTACATGGGGGTGTGGAGGTGGGAGTCAGAGCTGACGGCCAGGATGATGAGCAGGTTCCCAAGCACTGTGACCAGGTACATGGTCAGCAGCAGGCCAAAGAGGACAGGCTGCAGCTCTGGGTCCTCTGAAAGTCCCAGGAGGAGGAATTCTGCAACCCGTGTTAGATTTTCTGGCTCCATGTTGTTGAAGACCCTGCTGGAGGACAGAGACAAGGTGACGATGGAACACACAGAGATCAGTGTGGGACAGAGGACTTTGGCCCATGACTTAAAATCTGGAATCTTTAAGAAATTCTTCCCTTCAGTTTCTCCTACTCACTTCTTCCTTTACCTACTAATTCTTGACTAAGTTTTTACATTCTAATAGAGAAAATTAAGTGTGTGCATTTTTAATACCACAATTCAATAATAAACATGTGGTATTTATATTTGAGAACCTATGAAGTTTGGACACTATCTTTAAATCTAGTCTTAAACTCTAATAGTTCCTTAATAAAGCATCCAACTTGGTCAGATGACAACATTGTACTATAGAAGGTCAAGCATGTAGCTCATATAATTTCTCTGAATATTTTCATCTTTTCTAATTTTAGGTATATGCTAAAAATTGTAATCTCACATTCTCTACTACCTTATTGTAAGAAATGATATCATTCTTGTATTTATTCAAATATTACATGTTTCAAAACCACACCAACCAACTCCTTTGGGACCTATGTAATTTCAATTAACAATATTTTGCCACAGAACCTGCAGTGTGTAGTTCACATGATTTCTCTGTATATGCTCATCTCTTCTGATTTCAGGTATCACTAAAAATTATAACCTTATTATGCTCTACTACTTTATTGTAATAAATCCCATTATTCATGCATTTATTCAAATATTTTATATTTTAAGTCTGCCTCAATGAACTCTTTTGGGTTCTATATAATTTTAATTATTGGGTCCCTAGATTTGCTATTTTTCTTTTTGAATGGTGATTCATCATATTTCTTATATTCCTACATGAAGGTCATTATTAAAAAGTAGAGTCCATATTTTGCCTACTAGAGAAAGATCACACCCAAAGTAGAAATTCCCACCTCCCAACCTCTCTTAGTGGTGCTGGCAACTCACCACAGATGGACACCACCCTCTCTCCCTTTGTATTTTCTACTTGGAGACAGGGTGTCATTTAGTAGCCCAGGCTGGCCTCCAGTTTGTGATCCTCCTGCCTCAGCCTCCCAGGAAAGGGAAAGATACGTGTGGCCCACTGTGCCAAGCTATCATCTGATCTTTAAAACAAGAATAAGTTGCTACACCTTCTAGTGCTCACTGTGCCTTCCCAGAGCCTCAGTATCTGGCCCTTCCAATACTTTCATATGTGCTGATGAACTCCTGGCCATCCTTACCTTTCATAGCAGGCAGAAAATCTGCAAGATTGAAAAATTTTAAGAGCTAGTGTGCAAATATAACACTGAACAAGGTTTTGCCATGTCAAAATGAAACTATTCTAGTCAGGCCATTGTGGTGCACGCCTGTGATCCCAAAGGCTTGGGAGACTGAAAGAAGGAGAATCAAGAGTTCAAAGCCAGCCTCAGAAAAAGTGATGTGCTAAGCAACTCATTGATACCCTGTCTCTAAATAAAATGCAAAATAGGGCTGGAAAGTTGCTCAGTGGTCTAGTGCCCTTGAATTCAATTGCTGGTACACCCCCACCCCCACTGCTCAAAATGAAACTTTTCTAGTTCTATGCATGCTGCTGGAAATGAGAGAAAATGAAATAAGCCAGTCAGGAAAAAAAAAAAAGAATACTGCTTGTTCTCACTCATATATAAAGGCTGGAAAATTGAGGTCCTGGAAAGAGAGAATAGAGTAGTGATCACTGAAGCCCAGGACAGGAGGGAGACAGGAGAAATGAGGTCAGATACAATGTACCAAATACAGGTGGATGGGATAAATACATTTTGATGTTTGCAAAATCTGCTACAATTTTTCAGATATTATTCTGACACTGGCATTTGAATGCAGAAGTGCTCAGACATTGATTATATTCCCAGGCATTTTATTTTTATGTTGAAAGATAGACTTGCTGATTTTCCAAGGCTGGCATTGAACTTGAGAGCCTCCTGCTTCAGCTGGTGAGAAGCTGGGATCACAGGCATTTGTCAATGAGCACAGTGTATTACATATTTTATAATGAACTGGAAGAGATGAGTTCAAAAGTTCCCAACTCATGGAAATGAGCAATGTTTAAGGAGATGGAAATCCAAATAACCGTGATCTGATTATTGTACTTTGTGCATATATTTCTACTATCTCTGTTATCTACATAGACCTATCACAAGGTACACTAAATATATGTCCAAATTTTATGTGTTAATTAAAAATTTAAAAATATATAACCGAAATTATTCATCTAAAATGTGAGCTTTGGAAGGGTGCATACTCATAATGCAAGTGGAGGGAGGGTGGCAGGCACGGGCTCTGGAGAGAGCAAAGGAGCGGAGCAAGCAGCTTTCCCTGTGCATTCATCTGGCTGGGGAGGGAAAGGGCACTGCAGGATCAGCCAACGCTAACTTCCAGGCCAGTGTTGGGATCACAGACCACGTGATGTTTATGAAGCAAAGGAAGAAGGACATTGATTTATTAAAATGGAAAGAAAAGAAGCTCAGCAGTGTTTGTGAGCTTCCAATGACTAAGGCTCTGTGGCTAAGTTATTGCTGCTGTTATTTTTATTAGGAATAGTAAGGTTAAAGATGCAGCAGCAGAAGATTTGGTACCACAGGGAGAGGCCTGGAGCAGGAGAGGAAAGGTGCAGCAAGGTGTGGGATGGTCCCTGGGCCTCGCTTTCCTGACCCACAGGCTGTGAGCTGCCTCACTATTCCTCACTGAACACTCTGGATGCATGAATGGAATGCACACTTGAAAATTTAAAAATGCAAGAGTGGAGTCTTGACCATTTTCTGTGTTACAATATCGAAAATTTCCTCGGAAATTTAGAAAAGGTTTTCTGAAGGTTTCAGCAATTCTACCTCTGTGTCAGGGTTTCTACCTATACTAATCAAAACCAGGGTGTCAAAGAGATATTTGTACACACTTGTTCCTAGCACCATTGTTCACAAGAGCCAGAGGGTGGGAGAAACCCCAGCACCCATGCACAGACAAAAGGGCACACATAGGGCTCTATGCAGACAGTGAATTAAGTAAAACTCAGCATTTAAAAGGGAGGAAACCTTTCTTTTTCTTTTTTAATTCTTTGTTAACATTCTGCAGATCAAGAAGTATTTAACACCTTTCAGCCAAAGATACCACCTCCTCCTGTTCTTGGGAGCATCACCTCCATGTCCAGTTCAGAAATGTCCTGGACCAGGCAAGGCAGGACCAAGGGTTCAGTACTCACCAGCTCTGTCCCTCTACTTCAGCATCCTGGGGGCTGATCCTTGCATGCAAAAGAGGGCAGAGAGGACTGGGTGGTTCTCTAAGTGGTTCTTACAAATAAATGGACAGGATTCTTCCATAATGAACCCCAAGGGGTTAGAGATACAAGACAGTGAGAATCACAGAGCTCTCAATACCCAACTTCCCAGTTGCTATCTCCAGAGAACAAAACAGAGGGAGGGTGCTATGTTGGCTATTCTCCAAAAGACAAAGATTGCTCTTCCACTGTGGCCCTCAGACTTAGTGCACACATCAATTACTGAGAGGCCCTATCAGAGTACACATCCTGAGCCTTCCCTGGAGTCTCAGACTTAGGGTTGGCCTGTGGTCCTAGGAGTTCTGTTCTACCACGTTCCCAGGTCATGTGCTGCAGCTAGACCAGGAACTCCACTTTGACAACCCACAGTGTAGGGCAACGAAATTGACAATATCCCACTATAGGACAGTTGCTGTGATATCATTGCCCAGAAGAGCCTGGTGTCAGCAGACTCACAGAAAAACCAACCATCAGGCCACAGTCAAGGGCATTTGTTCTAGGACTGTTAGGAATTGCAATAGTCATAGACCCAGGGGACAGGAGCAACTAATAGTGTGTCGTGACAGAGTTTAAAAATGAGAAAATCACAACTGTACAAGTTGTTCTCCATAAATTAGGACTGGTGGAAGCAAATAGTCAAGTGATAGGTCTGAACACCTGTTGGCTATTGTTGATGATCAGTTGTGAACACAACCAGAGTAAGTGAGGGTCCAGGGACTGTAGGTCCTGTGGTTTGGCTCAATACTAAGTATTCAATGGAGGAGATGCATGGGCCCTCCACTCTGGAAGGTTTTCCAGCTCCATTTAAAGAGCTCTGATACAAGGTGCAGCCACTTTGTAATCTCAGTCCACACACATGCAATTCCAAAAGTAGGGTTCTCTGTTGTGTGCCCATGATGGATTGTACATTCAGTACTGCTTGGGGTAGGAGGCAGGGTGGGGGCAATGGGGACTTTGGACAGTTTGGATTCAATATTTACTAACCCATACCAGCTGACATTACTCAACCTCTATATGTTTCTGCTCCATCATGTGTAATACCAGATGTAAGAGTAGATCAACTAACACCATTTTTTAAATATATATATATTTTTTTAAAAAATGGGGATTGAACCCTGGAGCCTTTTGCCACTGAGTTTCATCTCCTATTTTGAATTTTAAGGCAGGTTCTCACTGAGTTGTGGAGGCTGGCCTCAAAATCCTCCTCCCTCAGGCTTTTGGTCTGTGCCACTCTGCACCACTCCACCCAGGATTTTAAAAATTTAAAATCTGTAGCTGGGTGTGGTGGCACATGCCTAAATCCCAGCAGCTTGGGAGGATGAGACAGGAGGCTTGTGAGTTCAAAGCCAGCCTCAGCAAGAGAGGCTGCTAAGCACCTCAGTAAGACACTGTCTCTAAATAAAATACAAAATAGGGCTGAGCCCTATTCTTCCTGCTCCTCAGAGCTTCCTGTCTCTCCAGCGCTTTTACTTTTCAATTTCCAGGACTCAAATTCACTGCCATGTCTTCTGAAGAAGGGAAGCTGTTCGTGGGAGGACTCAACTTCAATACTGATGAGCAGGCGCTGGAAGACCACTTCAGCAGCTTTGGGCCTATTTCTGAGGTGGTTGTTGTCAAGGACCGGGAGACTCAGCGATCCCGGGGTTTTGGCTTCATCACCTTCACCAATCCAGAACATGCCTCAGATGCCATGAAAGCCATGAATGGAGAGTCCCTGGAT